TTGATAATTGTACAGATGAATTCTGGGTAGATTTGGGCACGCCTCAGAATTGTAGTGGGAGCGAAATTGGAGCGAGACAAAGCGACCGCTCCAGCCTTAATTAAAAAACCGCTCCGCGCTCTGACCAAATTCCGCCCGCTCCGCTCCTCGCTCACGCTCCGCTCCGCTCACATGCTCTGAGTGGATCTGACATTAGTTTGTTAGATCAAGTTTGATAAGAAGCAGACATAACTTTGTTTTGAAATTGTAATGCAGTATTACTAAAATATAAAAGGGCATTCTATTGTTTTCTTTGTGGACTTGACTGCATTTTTAAGCTATTTGTGGAGATCACTTTTCTTTCATTTAAAATTGCCATGGAGTCTAACATACTGTACAGTAAGGGAGTGAGAGTCGGAATACTGGTTAGTGTAAATTTTACTGTTCAACAAATTTTACTTTGTACAACTCCCATCACTTAGGTCAGGGGTCACCAACTCCAGTCCTGGAAGTCTACTATCCAGTAAGTTTTCTATCCTACCTGGCTTCTGATGAGCCACACTAATTCTCAAGTAAATACCAGGAGCAGGTGTGGCTCATCAGAAGCCTGGTAGGATAGAAAACTTACTGAATAGTAGCTCTCCAGGACCGGAGTTGGTGACTCCGGCCTCTAGAAATAGCTGAAAACTGCAATCCGACCCATATAGAGAATGGAGTGTTGGTGCCAAGTTTAGGAGGTGATTATGAGAAAATGCTACAGTAAAAATTCACCAAAATAAGTCTACTTACACTCTGTTATACTTACTATAAGATGGCAATGGCAGATTTTTGGGACGTTTTGAAATGAAAGGGCAGGGGTCTCTAGAAATGGCTAAAAAAAAAAAAAAGAAGCATTTAAGGTGGACCGGAAAAATCCGAATAAGGATCTGCGAATAAGTAGCCAACTTCAACCTCGTGTCCTCTGCTGCCACGTAGCGCTGCTGCATATTTATTTTTTTCATGAGATCTTTGGTGCGCGAGATTATTTTCTGAATATTCAAAAATAAATATGTTTTAGTCTCCACATCCCTCCGTTCAGAAAATGTTATCGGTATTCGGTAGCAGTGTGCAAAATTTATTATCGGGAACTCTGTGAAATTTATTGTGGGGAACCCCAGTTAAGGCTACATTTATATAATGTATAAACAAATCAATAAACAGGAAAAAAGCAACAATCAAGTCTGGCAGTGGAGGTAATGATGATACTAAACTTTTCATATTGGGATCTTAATTTTAGGTCAGACAATTTATTTCACATTAAAGCGAACTGTAAACAAGCCTGTCTGCATCAAGAGCTTCACAGCGTATCAAAGTACAGGAAGGCAGAGCAGAAGGATAAACAGCTGAAGATTTAATGTGACGCTGTCCACATATATATATTTAATTGATGAGGATCTTTTTGACTGCAGTGTCCTGATGGAGAGAGCAGGCTCACCTGCACCCAGCTGTGTTTCCATGAAGACTGACAGGTCAATGCACTGTCCAATCAGCTTCAGAGAGGGAACTTTTCCATCAGATCAAAGGTAAACATGCATTTAAACAAACACTTTTTATAAAACATAGACTTTGTCAAAAGGCACACAGGCACACACAAGCTATGAGGGGAAAAAAAAAACTTTACAATGAATGCATCATATTTTACCTTTTGCACATCCCATTGTCTTTGAGAATTTAAAGAATTTCTGTCTGTGTTCTATGTAAGTTACACCTGAGGTAAAAGGATGAGGATTACTGTTAAGACTGACTTCCTGCCAGCAGGAATTAGAAGGTAGATTTACATTTAGTGCATTTTAAACATCAATCCTCAGCATGCAGCTGGAAAAAAAAGCTACTGCTCTATATCGATTAATTATGACTGGACAGTAGATTGTCTTCTTAGAAGGATGTTTCTGCTTTGTAAACAAATACATTCTCATGGACTCATTAGATCTGCTCAGACTGAGGCTTCAGTTTGACCATGTTTAATGGGACAGCGCCTGTTAATAATTAACTAGTATATCATGTTAAACCGTCAGACAAAAACACTGAAACAGTTGCTTTCCAAAGGTGATATGTAAATTTTTGCTGATCCAGGTCAGAATAAATGTGATATTTATGTGCTGAAAAGTGAAACTAAAATGGTAAGAAAAGGATTTTGTCAATCAAAGTTTAAACGGAACCAAAAGTGTAAGTGAGACACAGAACCGGAACTGAAATTTCACTGAAATTGTGGAAGTTTTACAGAGATGTTTTTACCCCAAGCAACTAGTAATAGCAAAGCAGTTTAGGTGTCACAAAAGGAAGCAGGAAGAGGGAGAATCCATTAGTCAGTATGAGGCTGAGCAGAGAAAAATGTCTGAACATTGAATGACTTGCTGTGTGATATATTAGTGTTTGGGTTACGGAGTGAGGCACCTGCTTACAGGAGACCCCCTCCCCGTTCAAAAAGCCATAGAAAATGCAGCATCCATGGAGCTGGTAGAGAAGGAAGCACAGCAGCTCACTGCAGCATCCAGGGTGCAGGCAGCAGCCGCCTCTGACAGCCACACTGTCAGAATGAAGAGCTGCAGTTTGTACCTTTGCTTCTCACTGGAGCTGGACCCTCAATGGTCTGCAAGTTGTACACTGGCTGTAGGTAAATGTACCTTTGTCTAATTTAAGGTACAGAAATGGACTCTGAGGAACATCCCCAAGGTACAAACAACATTAATGCACCCCCAGTGGTACAAATATGTTCCTTGTAGTCCATTTCTGTATCTTGAAAGGTACAGTTACCTACAGCTAGGCTACAATTGGCAGACCCTTGAGGGTACAGTCCCAGTGACAGAAAAGAGTACCAGTTTGTACCTTTTCTTAACACTGCAGAGAGACAGCAGCAAGGAATGTCACTGTTGTGGAAGCAGAGATACCATCCAGCAGAGTACTGGACTAAAGAGCTCAAACCCAACAACATATCAGGAAAGAATGGACTCATTGGGGGGAGTTTGTAAGGCAAAGAGGGAGAAATCAAAGGAATTATGCAGGGTCAAGTAAATGGTACAGAAAGAGAAAGCAGACAAGCGATGTTCAAATAAGAAACTGCATGAGCAGAGCAGCAGCAGTGAATCTGACACAGAGAAGGAGCTACTGGTCAAAGTGCTGAGAGTAAAAGGAGGAAGGGGAGCCAATGGTGTCACACCTCTGGGGAAGGACGTCCAATCAGGATGGAGACTGACACTGACACCACGGTGTCATTCATGGCAGATAAAATATTCAGGGAAAAGCTGAGCCACATTCTACTACACGTACAAGGCTCATGTTGGAGACCTACAGTGGTGTGACCATCACCATGGTGGGAAAGGCAGAGATCCTGGTGGAACTAAACAGAGAGAGGGCCAGACTTCCCATTTATGTGGTTACAGGGGATTACCCAACATGGTTAGAGTTTCCTCTTGCTGTCCAGAAACATGTTTAGGCTCTTTTCTAAATTCTCCATGACATATGACAGCCTCTGTGTGTGTCTGCCCTGTGATGGACTAGATTCCACCCCCCCAGGATGAACCCGTATCCTAGGTTTTCTGCTGTCTGAAATAGACCCCCCCACCCCACCCTGCCCCCAAACCGGGATGAGTGGCTGGAGGATTCAAATTCAAAAAACTTTATTTGTCCCCGAGGGGCAATTTTAAAATGGATGGATGGATTAATGGATGGATTTTTGTTTTATTCACAGGGACCAGGTGAAAAGATGTAATTCATATCCACATAAAGGAGACTTATCTATCTTCAAGGTGTGCATTTATTACTGAAATATTTTCATAAATTTTTATTTAAATTGACATACACCTTCTACAGATGTACAATAAGTACAGTAGTTCATCCGGTCAAAGGGATGATATTTACAACTAATGCCACGTTCTGTTTATCTTGGAAGTGGGACTTGGGAATTGCGTCTCACCCAAGTTAAGCACATTCTGGTACAGCAAGTCAGAAAGCCAATGTAGCAGTTCCAGGGACCTGTTTCAAAAAGCAAGATTTCTTGCTTAGCCAGATAACTTCTTGTATTTAATGTGCCCCAGTTTAAATGGCATTATCTTTGTTCACTTGCATTTAGCCCTGATGACCTTAAATCTGATTAGATATCCAGCTAAGCAAGAAATCCTGCTTTCTGAAACGGGTCTCAGTTCTAGCCTGATTAATTGTTAGCCATTATTAGCAATATCAGTTGATAACACATTACGTGTTATTTTGCACATAAAAATATCGTAGCAACACGTCCACTGATAGCAGTTGGACTGTACTGTGTGTACAACTGATTTAATGCGTGACAAATAAGACGTAACTGCTGCTAATAAACAGCTTAAAGCTATAGCTTTAACTTCTGCTGATTAAGGGTGCAGCCATTTTGAATTCTGAGGTCCGGATTGTGT